CAGCCAGCCCCCTCCATAGACCCACACCCTTCCTCCCCTGACTTACTTGCCTTTGCCTGCCTGCTCTTCCTCCTGGCAAGCAGTGAGCATGTGCACTCAGCTATCCTGATTGAGATTTAAACTAAGCTACCTGAACCTGACGTGGGGCCTGCAAACACTTGATACCCAAACCTTGGGCTGGCTGTCAGCACTGGAAGGAATTTCATCCTTAGTGAGTTAAATATTAAAAATTAGATTCTCTGTTTGGTACAGCTGTGGCAGAAAATAATCATAAGCAAGTTTCCATCCCCTTGATCATGGCAACAGCCAGTTGCAGGGCTATGAAAAGCTTTGGTCCCTGATTCAATTCGGCAGAGATTCGGTCCAATTCAGCGGTCAAATCTCAGAATCCGAATCGAATCAACGGACCCTTTAATCTCTCTGAATCGAATCGAATCGGAACCCTCCAAATGGATTTGGAGAGATTTGGAAGGATTCGACAATTCTGACATAGACACAGCTTTAAATGTTTCTTCTCCGTACCTCAAGGTACCAGGTGGCTCATCAACACTGTGATGTTGGGGCACATGGAGCGTCCTACAGGAGCATGTGGGTTCCTCAGCATGCTCAGCAGCGGACCCAAAAGTGGACCAGCAGCACTTCCAGTCCACTTCTGGGTTCACCAGGAAGCATGCTGGAGGGCCCCCCCACCCCCATGCTCCCCCGGCTCAATGACTGGTGCCTCCTGGGTCGGGGGGCACCCAGGGTTCCCCTTTGGCTGACTGCCGAACCAGGCAGGCGCAGGGAGGGCCCCCAGGGCACCCCCCGGCAGACCCGGAAGTACTTCTGTTCCACTTCCAGGTTAGCCGCCAAGAGTGCGGAGCCCCCCCCACCGCACTCCCAAGGATGCTCCATCCTCCCAGCATTGCAGCATTCATGAGCCACACCTGATACCTCGAGGTATGTAGAAAGTGTTTTAAAAGCTGCGTCTATGTCCAAATCATTGAATCTCCAACTCAGCATCAAATCTTCAGATTTGGATTCGGCCAAATCGAATCAGGGACAGTGATCCGAATCAACAAATCAGAAGACTGTCCCTAATTTGGGATGAATCTGAATCGAATAGGGCCCACTTCACACACCCTTACAGGGTACTACTTTCTCCACTGGCACAGTTGATTATGTCTTAATTGTCAATAGCAATGTAGGCAGTGCTACTTCAGGTACTTCTGAAGTTGCAGAACAACTGAGAACAACTGCAGAGCAATTTTTAAACAGGGCTGTCAGACCAGTTTTTTGCCTGCACACCACAAGCAGTTAACTGATTGTCTGCAACTCCCACCTGGGTGCCTCTTCCCCCATTGCTCCTGCTATTGTTGTAGCTGGGATCTCTGGGTCCCTGCTCCCTCCCTGGAGGTAGGGGGCACAGCCTGCAGGCCCCAGTGGGGTTGGGCAGCCAAAACTCCACCCAGTGGGGGAGTCCAGGGGACCCACAGCATGCCATTGAGACCTGGGGGCTCACAGCTCATGTGGCATAAGGCCCATATGGCATACAGCCCTCAGCCACTCAAAAGTCAGACAACTCTACTTTCCAATATGTGTTTGCTTATTTGGGCTGCTTTCCTTTTGCTGCTCACATTGCTTCCCTTTTACTGCTCCCTATTTGCTGCTCCACTTGGCTCACATTGTTAAGAATGGCCTCTGATTTTGCATGATCGAGTGCCGAAAAAACCTGACACCAAAAATCAGAAGCCAGATTCTTTTTCCTTTGGGTCCTTGTTCACACCAGCAATCTCAATGAAGTAAGTGGGATGTCTAGTGTTAAGAACTGGGAACCATGTCCTCAGATCTTTTCTCTCTTTAGAAAGGCTGCCTATGATCCCTCTGAGAAAGGTCTCAGAGGGATCATAGGCATAGGCTGGGTTGTGAAGGTTTAGTTCCTGGCTTTGTTTTCTTTGACAAATTATTTAATTTCTCTGTACCTCCAATCCCCACTTTCTGTTTATATATACTTTTCTTGAGGGATGACTGCCTGAGCATTTGTATAGTGCCTCATCTCTTAGGTCCTCAATATTAGTTTCTGTCACCAGACACTACTGTATTGTAAAAAAAAACAACCTATTTTCAGTGCAACTTAATGATCTAATACCTGCTTGGCATATACTGAACAAACTGGTTCCAGTGAGCAAGGAGGAGGAGAGCCCAGTATTCTGCCATGACTGATTGAACCATCAACCTCCTCCACTTGAATAAAACTCATTGAACCAGTATGACAAAGTGCCACTAGAGGAAAAAAATAAATAAATAAGAATGAAATCTAGTGTCATAGTGTACAACTGGAAAAGCACAGCCTGATTTTTACACCTTCCAAATGGGTTTGCATATGTATTAATACCAATTTCAAGTGAATCATAAGAGTTCCTGTACTTGACTCTAATCATAATCTACCCTGCCATGAGCTATGCTTTGGCAGGAGTTTGTCACACAGCTTTGCCAGAAGAGAAGTGCTCTTTGGAAATAATAATATGGTTTGGATAATGGACACTGGATGTGATACGGTATGGTTACATAGCATGCTGGTTATCAAGAAGAGGAATCTGCACATAAGTTGCTTAAACTACTGAGATAACTTCATTTGACTCATTAAAATTTCCACAGACTGGGCTAAAACATAATCCCATTAAGGTGGGCAGAAAAACTCCCACTGGCTTTTATGGCTTCTCTCCATCTTTCTTTTTCACTCTTCGTCGCTCTTTCCTAGTTTTGCTCATCTCCCCTTTTACCCCACATTCTGGAAATGGGAGCTGAGAGCAACAGACTCTTTTATTTTTGCCCTGCTCCTCCTGTTAACAGGCTGTACAGATGGCTTCTGCCAAGCAAAGTAGAGGAAGACTGAGTGACCAAACATCTGACATGAGCAGACAGAGGTAGTTAACCAGGTTAGTCTAAAGTCAGAAAGAAGGCATGAAAGAGGTACTCCTTGTAGGCTAACTGAATGAGAGATGCACAAACTTTCATGAGCAACAGCTCACTTCATCAGAGGCTGTGAAAGGACATGCAGAGAGCAGGCTATCAAGCAAAAGCAATTTAAATATGAAAGACAGGGAAACTGGGAATGGTGGGCATAAGGAAAGAGGGAGGACAGTACTGAGAAAGATAGAGGGGTTTAAAGAGAACAACAAAGCAATAAAGCCACAGTGACATGGGGCTTGTAAGAGCTAATCTGGGTGCTGAGATAAGAATTCATAGTCTCTGTTTAGAACATACATCACACTACTCCTTTGGGGATGATTTCTTGCTTTGCAATTTCATGTTCAAGTCAGTTTTTAAAATGCTCTTGTTCTTAAAACCCTGAGGTCAACAATGGTGTATCCTGAGAGGTAAAAGTATTCTACCACAGACCTTTGTGCATTGCTGGACTTGGCGTCAGATGGGTGTCTGTTCATTCTGTCATATGGGGATCGCTCCATCTGTCCAAAGTACGTAGCAGAGGAGCACTATAAGCAGGTGATGGCATATATGACATTGGTAAAGAATCAAGTGAATGAACGCTGGATATTATAGCTAGTGTTAATTGGTCTAATGATGATATGACCTGTATTGATAAGGGGACACAGCAGGCATCTGGGTCTGGTGCAAGACCTAGTGCCTCAGTAAAAATAGGAGTTAAGTAGTCTGTTGCTGGAGAGACACATTTTGAGGTTGGGGATGCTGTCTATAAGCCAGGACACGTTTGTCCCTATGATTGAGTATTATTTCTAGGTAAGTTAAGGTTGCAAAAAAAAATTATTCAGAGTTTCTTCTGCAGTTTACTCTCCTGCCACACCTTGATGGAAGTTTATTGAGAAAGAAAAAAAGCACACGGGCAACTCTGTGATGTTGTTGTTCTTGGAAAACCACGTCTTCACCCACTTAATGACACTGTGACCCTGAGGTCTGCTCACTCTGGGAGAGATACAATGATTCACAGCTACTGCGGGTGTGCTCTGCCCGCAGCACTGCCCTTACAAATTACAAACAAAAAACCCCAGAAAGAAAAGAAAAAGAGAAACTTCTCCACACTGTCTCTATCCACAACTCGTGTCTACAGCAATTAGCTTTGTATCAACAGTCTACTTATCAAATTCTGCAGCTTATAACAATGTCAAAAGTTCTCCCCTGTTACCTTCGCTGGGGTTAACCAACCATCAGTTTCAGTCGGTGTCTCTGCTCCTTCAGCTCTCATGAAATGCCGAGCTCTGTCGCTTTTGTACCTCCGCACAAAGATGATCACCGTCACAAAATCACCACGGCTCAGGATTCTCCTTCCAGGATATTGACACTGCTCACTCGTCCCCCTTTTATCCTCATCATTTCTGGTAAGTAAATTATATCAGAGTCTCTTGTCTTTCGGGTGTGATGGACACTGTCAGCATCAGTTGATGACATCAGCGTTTCTTCCCATTTCTTTGCCCTTGGGGTAAGTTTCTTTCCTCACTGTACTCAAGTAATAGGGAGCAAAGTCTCCCAGTTACAGTCCCCCATAGTTACCTTAAGAGGGTCATCATTTTCCAGGAGGGCTGGGAGGTCATTAATGATGTATCCAGTGTCTTCAAGCTAGGGGTTGTAAGTCAAACCAGAGGGATTCTGTTGAACTGGTTGCAGGGTTAGTATTGTAGCAAATCAGAGTGAGGCATGAGTCTTGGCTCTATGATTTTGAGTGGCTATGGTTTGGGATCATGTTGCAAGTGTAGGAATTCCTGCTCCAGATCCTTAAGGTATGCACCCCAGGCAGTGGGATCAGAACAGATACAGGGGTAATGCAGAGCGTGGCTGTAGATCTAGTGGTGTGCTTAAGACAAAGGCAGCTGGCATGGAGGTATCTGTCATGGCTGCATGGTTTCCAGTACAATGTGGTGATGATGTGACCGCTGCCAACTTTCACTACAGTGTCTAATGAATAAATTTATCTGTAGTCTGATAGCATGGCCTCTGTTTGGATGGGCCTTCTGAGCTACAGTTTAACTTTTCAGGGTCAAGTAACATAGCCAGTGACATAAGATCAGACATAGTCTTTGTGTAAAAGAGCATTGCTTTATATTTAACAGTACATAGAATAAGTGGACCAACACAAAAAAAGTTCTTCCCACATGAATTTTCATACCTCAAATTTCTCCCCACTCTGGAGGGTTATTTGAGCTGGTGTCAGGAGCCCCTTGATTTGTCCAGGATCCTTCTGTGCTACTAATGTTGTCTATTCTGACCCCTGGACTCCCCAACTCAACTCATATTCTCAGACCTTGACTGGTCCTGGAGCTAAACTGTTTCCTCCCTGCTCAGAAATCCTCTTGGTCTCTTCTTTTCTCTTGCCTATGGTGTCCTCTTCATACCTCAAGCTTCCTGTGCTTCCCCAGGAACCTTCCTCACTGTATATGCCCACTCTCCAACACCTCTCCTTCAGATATGGAAATTTGTCACTACCCATATCCCAGATCCCTAATATCTGTAGTAAAGAGAAAATTGAATCTCCTAGTGTTCAATAATCCTAGCTTCGTGCATGCTCACGGTTCAAAGTACAGTCATTATGATTACTTTCTCACTACTGTCCCTTCAACTATGTCTTTATAGCATAATGTGATACTATGCAGAGATACCTTAATGAGCTCTAAAAGAGCTAACTTGGGTATCAAAAGCAATGTGGCTGCATTAGTTTGATGCTGTGCATAGATAATTAGCCTTTCTGAGAAAGATTACATTTACCTCGGCAAAGCAGTATGCTAACACAGCTGTACTGTTTCAGGTATCCAAATTAGCTCATTAAGACTTAGTTCAGATGAGACAACACCATGCCCTGCAGAAACTTTCAGTATGGTGGGTACCTGCTGGAGGCACAGATGTAGAGATATCTCCATGCTATGGCAAGCCTCACAACAATAACTTCATAATATCAACCAGAAATCATAAGCCAAGCCATACACAGGCTGACTGATTCCTCACAATATCCCATATTAATATTCACCCTGATATTTTAAGTTAGAGCTTGGTTTAAGCCTGAAGCTTATAGCAATGACCTGGATGTGGGCAGTCACTCCTACAGGTTAGGGTCCTAGCCAGGAGTCAGGAGCAAGTCAAGGTCAAAAGCCAGAAAAAGATATCAGGAACTGGGATCAGACCAGTCTATAAGTTTATCAGGAGACTAGCTGTGCAGACAGCTCACCGCTGTCTGCCTTGCTAGCTTCAAAGTTGTGTCCTATTCATTTCTTGTGCCCTGTTCATTTCCACTTGGCACAGTGATTCATCACAGCATAAGGCAGGGCAGGGTGGCACCTTAGAGACTAACTGGTTCACAGAGTCATAAGCTTTCTATTCTCTCAGCATATATGTTAACATTCCTTCAGAATGTCTCTAAGCCTGAAGTACTATAATTACTGGCATGCATATTCCTGTTATCCATATAAGCATCCTGTTTCTTTCTTTCAGCTTTCAACATTATCCTGTAGCAGTGAGTTCCACAAGTGAATTACAGGATGTACAGAAAGCCGCTTATACATGAAAATAACTGCTGATTCTATCAAAACGTTTGACAGAAACTCCTTCCCAGGGCTGCCCACCTTCCCAGACAGCTGGCTTTCCCACCACCTAGACAGCTGCCTCCCCTCAGGGTGCTGGGGAAGACAGATAGCTCCAGAAGACAGCTGCCTTGGGAATCAGGCACCCCAGGGACAAGCCAAATGATCTAGCTCACCTCTCTTAAAATGGACTTTCTCTGTTCTTCCTCTCATGAAAAAAGAAATCTTTTTTTGTTTTTTGAGATGTTTTGTAACCAAAACAATTTTCAAGATTTTGGAAACATTTTTAAAAAGACAGAAATTTCCTTTTCTAGTAATACATAGTTAATATACATATATGAAGTTAATACACAGATAAATGTAAGCCCAGAGCATTTCACTGAATTACCAGAGACCACATAGGAAGTCAGTAGCAGGGATAGAGAAAGAACTCCAGTGTACTGTGTCACTTATAGATTTCATGGACATTGAGACTGGAAGGGACCTCAGAAGATCATCGAGTCCAGCCCCCTGCTCGAAGGGCAGGAAGTCAGCTGGGATCATAGGATCCCAGCAAGATAAGCATCCAATTTTCTCTTGAAGGTGTTCAATGTAAGTGCTCGAACCACCTCTGGTAGCAGGCTACTCCAGACCTTGGGGGCTCGGACAGTGAAGAAATTCTTCCTTGTGTCCAGCCTGAAACAGTCTTGAAGGAGTTTATAACTGTTTGACCTTGTCATCCCTTGGGGTGCTCTGATTAACTACTTAATCCCACCAGCTGGCAAGAAAATATTGCACCCGCAGCACAAGTTACATACACTATTTTTTTTAGTAACTACAGCCTTTGCCTACTTTTATTATTATTCTGAGTTATTATTATTGGTATTATAGTAATGACTAGAGACTCCATTCTGCTGGACACTGGACTAGCACAGAGTGAAAGACACGCTTGGTTTAAAAAAGCTAACAGCCATAAAGACAAAAAAAGGATGCAGAAGGTGAAAAAAAAGGTATTAAAAATAGAATTAGTTTCTGCGTGAAAATTAGATTTTTCAGCAGAAAGCAAACTACTGGAACAATTTGGACCAAGTCCCCCAAGACCTAAAATCCTTGTGTCATCTTGAGGTAGTGTGATCTGACAGGAAAGCCAAATCCAGAGATAAGAATGAATCTACGTGGCTAACAAACCTCAGCTTTGGCTAGCAAACTTATGGCATGGTGGCAGCATTTCCAAAACAAAATGTTTCAGCGTTGCCACAGTATTCCAAGTTTTATCCTTTCATTATTTTTTGGGTTTAGTTTTGTTTGTTTTTTTCCCTTTGAGTAAAAGATACATTTTTCCACAGCCAGCATACAAAAATCAAGTTTAGCCAACAACACAATTTTGAATATAAAGCTCGTTCAATACAAAAGTATTAAGCAGCCTAAATTAACATCCTTTATTATACAGATGAGAAACTGAGGCACGCTGGAATGAAGAGACTTGATTAACATTCAGTAAGAAGTCTGAGGGAGAATCAGAAATTGTACCTGATCTCTTGATGTCCACAAGATGATTTTAATCATAAGACCATCCTTCTTCTTGTGCACTCATGGAAACTCAACAGGAGTTTTATTAAAATGCATAGCCTATTGTGTGCAGAGTTCAATATTTTTTGCTCTATTATGTACGTGAAATCCTGCAACAAGACTGGCAAAGCAATGCTTGTAGCTTACTGAGAAGTGTGCTCATGAATAAGAAAGGATGTGCTTGGCTGTCTCTCTAGCATTGCTAGCTAAAAATGATTGCTTCTCTTTAACTGAAAAGTAGTAATGCTACAACCCAGTGTGGCCTACTTCCAGCCACAATTAACATTTTTTCTATTAGGTTTTCAGTGCTAGATGTTAGGGCATATGTTTAAAGTTGCAAATTACAAATATCATTAATTTTTAAGTTAATGTGTTCAACCTTTTCTCCATGATAAGTGTTTAAATAAAATTAGGGAAATGAGATACTGTACCTTCGTCAAGGCTTCATTTGAATATCCTTCGTTACTAGCAGGCTCATAGTGGAGTCGGGCTGTAATTGATAAGAACTCTGATTACAAATAACAAACACTGTGAATTCCATATGTCTATCATTATCAAGCCTTTACATGTAGAATATAAGTCTGCAGCAGTTTGTGGTAGTATATATATTAGTGTGTGCACACAGTTTCTTTTTCTCAATATGCATGTGTGTGCATGAACATACACATGCTATATGTATATACACATACATCAGTGCTTACAAAGCAATGGTTGGGAGATTTTCCAATTAAAGGAAAAAAATCTCAGACCATATTCTATTCTACCTGTAAGGCATGGAAGTGGATGCTCCTGACAGATGTTCAGTTAAAGCACAATGGGATCTGATCCGTGACCCCAACCAGGTACATGGCAGGAAACACAACTGTAGGTTTGGGGATCAGATTCCAATGGCACCCTGTTGCTGGTGCAGGAAAAACCCAGGATCATAATTCTGTGCTGCCTTTGCATTGGCAGTTAGCTGGTGCACCTGGCTGGGAGCAGCTTTGGGAGCCCTTCGCTACAGTTCACTCTCAAGGCTGGGAGTGCCAATCAGCTGACAGGTACTCCTGGCTTCAGGTGCACCAAATAGCTGATCAGCACTGGCCACTCATTCAATTTAAGGCATAATGGGAATCAGCTGAAAAGCTATGACATATTTTGTGTAACAATTTTGTGGTTTATTCCCTGGTTTATCGCACCATTAATTACATGATTATGTGTCCATGTTAGTACTTAAGTTGTGATTACATTCACTTAGATACTTAAAAGGTGGAACAGAGCCTGGTCCCTCCTGTCTGTATTTACAAAAAGGAAGCCAAGCCTTGTAAAATAATAGTTAACATTATTTTGCATTTATATGATGCTTTACCTATATGAAGTGCTTTACATCCAGTAATTGATTCTCTATTAGTTTCCATTGTATCACTCTGCTTTTACTGAAAAAGAAAACTGGATGGCCTATTTCCACGTACAAACAAATAGCTACAATACTTTATTCCAAGTATAATCAACAAGACCATTCTGCCCAGGTGGATGCCAAGTGCTGCCTTCAGGATGTGTTCTCTCTCTGTCTTCAACCCATCTTCTGCACCCCAGGTATAGGTGCTAAAGCTGGGCAGAGAAACACAGTTCAATTCCACAGTGGATTTTTGGATTTCATAGTTCATTTTGACTCATTAAAAACCCTAATCATTTCCAAATTCTCACTGAAAAGGAATGGGATGCTGGCTCTGGACCTATCCGTATGGTAGGCTGCCCTAGTGCTGAGGGCCTTGGCTACTAAGAAGCCAGGAGCTGGGAAGCCTCCAGTTGTCCAGTAGTTTGCTAGGCAAGCTGCTAAGGAACAAAGAAAGAGAGCAGGCAGGAAAACAGGCAGGTTTAAAGAAATCTGCTGAGCAGAGTCTTATCAGATCAGCATTGAAAACTTCTTCCTTGATTATGACAAATTGAGACATTCCCACCAAAAACTTTTCTTCAACTCTCTAGTCCTTGTCCAGTGACAGTTCTGGATCATGCTGCTTCCTTGAGGAATTTGGTTTAATAGGGCTGATTGGTTAAGACCTGGTTTAAGCCATAGGAACCTAGGACTGGATGGGGCTCCATAGGCCATCAAGTCCAATCCTAGCCTTGTAGGTAGTCATTTACTGAAGGCCTCCCTAAAATTGCAATTGAAAGCAAAACCACCACTTCAAACCCTCTCACACAACTAGAAAACATAAAACCAGAAGCACCAAGAACATCCTACAACAAAGTGCTAGATAAGTGTGTATGAGACTAGGGCACTGCCAATGTCCTGCCAACGTTGGTCACTATTTGCAAATATAGGCTTTTTGCAACACAGGTTGCTATACCAAGAATACCCTACCCTATCATACCCTTTTCCCCACAAACCTACGTAGTTCAATACTAAAGCAATTCAGGTTTTATCCCTATTATTTGCCTTGGGAAGCCATTCCAAAGCTTTACTTCTTTAGTAAGTAGAAATATTCTACTTTCCAATCTGCTTTTGTTCATAACCAGTCAGTAGCCGTTTTCTCTTGTGCTGGTCACGTTTGTCAACCTAAAAACTCTTTTCCCTCCATTGATTTTAATTGATTTCTTTTGACTTATGCCGGAGTGAAACTAGAAATAGGCTCAATATTTTTCAGGGTACAGTGATTGAAACAAACCATGAAAACAATGTAGTGGAGGGACTGTGAAATGAGAGGGGAAAGAGGTGCACAGATTCGAGGAGACTAGTCACAAAGGGTTCATAGGTGTGTACACAGAAAGGACATCTCTGATGAATTCTGAAGCTACATGGAATTTATAAGACTATATTGGAGAATGAGTGGACTGGGAATGCAACTGTTACTGTTTAAGAGGAAAAAAAAATAAAGCTCCCAATAAAATGAAGACTTACAGTATCTGAAAGACTTTAATGATAACTGAGGTTTCAAAGGTGTCACTGCCTTCAAGACCCGCAGCCTCCCCTGAAAGAAAGAATTGTTTTCAGCTCTGTGTAATTGCAGGATGTCTTCCCACTCCAGAGTGAAGGTGATTATCTCTAAACATAGAACAAGTTGACTATCCCTAGACAAATAATAAGACATTATCTTTCTCTTCCAGGCAGCTAATTAAACAGGTTTGGTCTGTACCAATGTGTGTACTGTAATTTCTACATTATTATAGCTACAAAAATTAGTGTCAGGTACTGAAAAGCAGCAGGAATAACGAATACATTGTTGAAACATAATGAGGTAATTACTACCTAAATACCTAGAAAAATGTATTATGTTTGCATTGTGAGACTCTCAGTTACAGATTACCTATTTCTCTCACAGATGTTTATCATCTTCTGTCTGTCTCTCTTTCTGGCTTGCTATTTCTCCCTGTCATCATACAGTGCTTTCCACACCATACCTTTCATCACGCTGAAAAAAGAGGGCCAGCAGGTGCTTCTCAGAGCCCAGAAATGCTACAGCCATGACATGTTTTCACAGGCCAACTCAAAGAGGGAATGTGAAATCCGATGTAACTGGAAAATTTGAACAGACCAGTTCTTCCATCACCCATAAGGAATCAGTACTCAGTGCTTTCAGTTTACACTGGGCATCAAAGAATTAGAAAATGAAGAATGTACAAATACAACACCCACAGAGCCTCGTGTATGATATATGATACCAGGACTGAGCAGTAATATCAGAGACCAGATCATCCATCCATACATACACATCCATCACAAGGCAGAATGGCCCTTTAAGGGAATGAAGCATAACCACAGCCTGTGACTAATTACCTGCCTTTCAGGTGATGGGTCAAGGCCAGATATACTGGTAGATGGCAAACCATTTGTATCCTGGGGCCCTTCCAAATGAAAATATTTTCATTTAATCTCACAGATGTTGTACAAGATACAGCAAGCCACAATCATTTGGATGACATTTGCTTCATTATCAACCAGCTACTTGTGCAGTTTCAGCCTGAGCCTACTAAAATGCACACTACATTACCACCTGCAATTGCTAAATGTGTAGATGAATTTTCTCTTCCAGCCTGTAAGCTCAGAGTATGGTTTTAAGAGCAGTAGAATGTGGGCCACCAGAATAACAGTGGGCACCATCACCCCCATTGATATTATTGGGAGGGAATAAGGTTTGAGGTTTTCCAAAAATATAAACAGTAAATCCTGTCAGGTCCCTGACAACATATATTTTACCTGAGCTCCCCACTCCAAGAACCTGACCTTATGGTCCTACAGAACCAGAGGGTAGTAGTCTTCATGGATGATGGATTTGCTTTGCTCATTTAGGTGAGCAAGCAATGGGTTAAAGTGTCTCAGCAAGACCATAGTGCAATTTGGAAATCCCACTCTCTAAAAACCAGCTGTTATTTCAGGAATATTTCGTGCCACTTTAAGAACTACATTGCAGACTGAGAACCCAAGCGATTGCTTGCCAACATCAAGGTGGTAAGCCACAGTTCCCAAAAGGTCACAGCAACTCAGAGGTTGCTGCATTGGTACAGATTCCCTCTGTCAGGTGCTTTGGTGCTGGAAGGCTGTGACAGGTTCATTGCACAGCTCCATGGAGGTTTGCTTCCCCGCTCCTTGTTGGAGTTGCACTTGGGCATCTCAGGCCTGCAAGATCAGACAGTCCCACTACAATGTAGGATCTTGCTCCATAAACACCAGTATTCAAACTGTGATCACAGTTGTGAAAGCAATCATCACATTTGCTAATCTAGCACAAATGCATTGTTATCCTCCAAGGTCAACAACCATACTGGCTCCAAAATACCCAAAGGTCTGTAAAGCATCTCTCAGAGTTGGTGACCAAAAGCATTAACAGCTTTTAGCGGATTCATGGCTTGGCCAACTTACATAGCCAGGGAGGTTGTGAGGAGCCTGAAGATCTGGGAAATGTCAGCAATATGTCAACCAGGCATACTCACCCCTAGTTCTGTAGGCACCGGGTCCAAGCAGGAAGGAAAAGTTGTTGCTACCATCCAGGACAAGCCATATGTGATACAGAAAGACTCTAGTCTGTGAAGTATGAGGAAATCTGAGGTGTGCTCTCACAAAACCGATAGCCAAACATAGATCAAAAATGATCTATGAACCAGAAGGAGCTCATCCCTCTTGCCCAATAGCTGAATGGGCAATATTCACCTTGGACTTGACAGAGAAGGGTTGAAACTCTTACATTCCTTGATTTTAATCTCAGACTTAATTCTAGGTTTCTGATCGGTCAGGAGCATGCTCTGCCCATGGGACTATAGGATGTTCTGAAATGCCTTTCTCTTAGTGCCCCCTGCTGGAGTCGTCCCTCCCCTCCCCACAAAGAAAGGCATCATAAGTGCCTGAGCTTGTATTGATACAAAATGGAAACAATTTAAAACCAAATAATAAATTGGACAGGGGAGGAAAATAATTTTCCAATCATTTCTGCTCTATGTGGAAATCATGGAAACCATACTTAATCCAGTGTAGAATGCACCTCCTTGCAATTTATGCATCCAAATGCAGAATGTTTCCCTTTGTGTTTACACGTATCCAGGTACCAGAGTCTAAGCTACATTATTCCATTCAAAGCCCTCTCTCCTCTTCACAGCTTTAACTTGGTGTTTATCGCCCTTATTCAAGTAATCACAATTGTCAAGGATAGAGCACTCATGTGGACAGCAGTGGGAGCAGGTGGGTGCAGCTTCTGTCCTCAGTTGTGTGCCTGAGTAATTTTCTACTGTGGTGCAGACAAACCATCAGTGTTTCTGGCTTCACTGGTTGGAAAACTCATTTTGGAAAACTTTTTTCTATTTTTCCCCTGTTCCTGAGTTCTTTTCACATTTAAATCCTACATTAAACTTCCTTTCTCCTTTCCTTTCTGCTCTCTGACTCTTGCCCCCAAATGTCTTTCATTTGTATCTCATCCCTATGCTCATTGCTATTTAATTTAGTTACTGATTGTTTGTAGGAAACAGACTCTTTGGGCTTCATTGATGCCATTATGTATTTGAGACTGACAAATTCTTTTATGAAATGCAATAACATGGGTTTTCTCTCTTTATAAAGACTTCACGGTAAAAATGACAGCCAAGTTTTAATGTATCCATAGGATCTACAGAATTTCATTCCCAGGCGTTTCTGTGCCTGATGTGCACTGCAGTGAAGCTTATTTTCAAAATCTGCTTGCCAGATTCAAGTGCTCTTCAGCCTCTCATATTCCCCTCAAATGTTCAAGGATTGTGTCAGGGCACAAAACTATCAGTGGGTTTAAAGAGCCATATG